TGTACACTTCTATTAACATGGGCTGCATCTTTAAAGCTTGTATTTACACCTGTTTTAGTAAGTTAACATAGGTTTTCAGTGAAGAATGTACATGTCAATCAAATAACATGAAGTTACAGGCAAATATTATGTCGACGCATCACAATTATAAAGAACGGAAAACATAAAACATGATCAAAGTTAACATAATAAACAATATTGAGGGCATTCAGGTTTTTAAAGGTGCAATACCTTTCATGTAAAATATTTAAGCCAAATACTGGACTCGGAACATAGGGGATACATCTACCTATTTTTGAATAATTGAAGAAGGATGAGAATTTTTACTTGATTTGTGTTTTAAGGGGGAGGAACCAGTTACCATCAAATCTATTCCATAAAAAATTCAATTATCTAATTAAATTCTGCAAATTATGATGTATACTAGCCTTGCCCAAGTCGGTCTCTTTTACTATCTGATTTCTATTATGACCGCCTTGTACCAAAGAGAAAGCCACGTGCTTTACCGACTCAATGTTTATGTCTGTAAAATTTGACCAATCAACGACGGCCCTGCAGCGTTAGCTCATTATTACGCACGGTCAAAAGCAAGAACACTTTTCATCGGGACTTTTCACGAACAAATCTTGCATGGATTCATCATGAAAATACAAATATTTTATCAGATAAATATCAATCAGAGTTAAGTCGATGCCAGACTGTTTTTTAGGCTGAGATTCAATCACTGATCGACGAATACATGACCCGCTACATTGGACGAGGTCTTGCATTTTCATCGCGAGATCAGTTTTAAATCTATTGCATGATTGAATTTATATTAATGACTCTTACATTCCCTATGTACATTTAATTACATGATATATTGTAACTCTAAAGAAACGATCGATCAGATCATTGAATTTCAAGTCGTAGACGGGAAGATTGTTTTGCTGGGCAGCTCAACCTGATAACGTTTTGATTGGTCAATCAGCCTGAAGTCACACGTCGTGTCCACGCGTATATCTGTTAATCACTATGGTTTCGCGATACCCCTGATAGCGTAGGTATTATGGAAATCTCGAAACCGTTGAATATCTCAGCATAATAGCAGCGGAGATGTATTGGATTGTACAAGGCGGTAATAATTCAAGATCAGATAAGTAAAAAAATACCGACTTGGGCAAGGCTAGATGTATACTAAACATAGCTATAAGATACACATATTCCAGGTATCTGTTTATAATTTGCATTACTTTTAATTTGCGGAATTGTGTTGGCAAGGAGTTTATAAACAAGCAGAGATATGATCCAGTTGGTATAATAGGCCTATAGCTTGTGGCAGATGGTTATATAGTAAACCATCTTTCTATTAACTTATACCTTTGTACCAAAACTACAAAAAATTGAAAGGTTTACTGGACTTGTAATGTAAGCCATACTACAACCCTTTGCTTTGTAGAATAATAAACCAGAACAACAGCAATGCCAAAGCGTAGCGAATCCCATCGAACAGCCATGGATGGCATTTTTACAAACAAAGTATATAGCAAAAATGGCAGGCATTTTTCAGAATGGCCGCCTTCTACCAAAAGTGTCATTAGACCATTTGCCATACTTATAGTATTCACATACCAAATATGAACAAAATCGCTCCACTACTTTTCGAGTTATAGTAAAATATGTTAAAATGGCGGCCATTTTGAAAAATGTATATAATAATGATATAAATACTTCAATATTGATATGTGGTACAAAAGCATCAGTGGGATAACATAATGTGGGATTCTATTTATACATATCTCAGTATTGACATTGTGTGCAAAAGCTTCGGGTAAAATACCACAATCTGTGATTATATTTGTAAATACCTCAATATTTACATTGAGTGCAAAAGCCTTAGGGGGATACCATAATGTGGGATCCTCTTTATACATACCTCAGAATTGACATTCAGGACAAAAGCCTCACGGGAATACCATAATGTGGGATTCTATTTATACATACCTCAGTATTGACATTCAGGACAAAATCGTCAGGGAAAATACCATAATGTAGGATTCTATTTATACATATAAGTATAGAATTGTTGTGAATAAAAAATGTATTTACCTTCCACAGCACTGGCCGAGAAGAAGTTCCAAGAATGTACTCATTGGTCAAATCAAGGCTACATGATGGAGGCTCAGATATTACAGTGAGAAAACAGTTATCTACCTACAACAGACATATTATAGGAGATATTAATGATTATTGGTTCAGGCTACAAATACAAAAATTAAGGTTACCCTTATACAAGAATTAGTAGCCTGGCCAGAACAAGTCATGCCTCTCTATTTTCTCAATAACTTTCTCAATTTTGAATATTTTTTCATGAAATTTTCTAAAAAGATACGAAAAATCTAAATTACGTTTTGTCCTCATATGGTCTACAAATTTGATTGCAGTCTTTGATAGGGGATCATTTATCTTTTTTAGTGTTCTAAATCCACCATACTATTTCAAGACATCATGATCTCAAGCCTCTATACTGCTGTCCCATAAAAGGCATTACTACTCGCCTATTGTCATACTTGATGGATATAAAATATGCTTTCAAATGGCGACAAAAATGACCCATCAACAGAATATGACATTACTTTTTAAAAGGTTGTAACAATGAAATTAATGAGGCATTTACCATATAAAAAAATTTGTATGTTAGGAATTCTTTAAAGTTTATTCTGTAAAAATTTCATGAAAAAATATTCAAAATTGAGAAAGTTATTGAGAAAATAGAGAGGCATGACTTGTTCTGGCTAGGCTACTAATAAATACTGAGCTCCAATGAGCAAGTGTCAAAGGGAAAGGACCAAAACGTATTTCAAAAAACACAGGAGGAAAATGAAAAATGTACATTAGTTAATGAAAACACAGAATGAAATCCTGTTCTCTACGCAAGTTTTTTTTCTTGGTTTAATATTAATGCAAATCAAACTTTGTCTTGTATCTAATTGAGTGTGTGAGTAACATGTTCCAATGATTATTTTATAATTTTTTCTTCTGAAGTAAGCATAGTAGGGCTTTAACTGATGAATGGATATATAATATATTAAGAGGTTATTTTCCTCTTTAGCATCCATTTGATTTGAAAACTTAACGCATTATCACCAGTCCCCAACATCATGTCATGATAAAAAAAATTAAAAATTAATGAACTTCCCCAGAGGAAATTTTTATTTCATCATTTTCATGCGTGTATTAATAGTAACATCTGGTCACTTAAAGGTTGATTAGTTCCTAGCAAATATATCCAGCAGTTGCAATAATCGAGAATTCTTCACTTAGCAACCAGGACATTATCTGGTGAATTTAATTACTGCTCAGTTACATTGTGTTATAGTGTATTAAAGTCCTTATTGCTGAAGTGCGGAATTCTCACTCAATTATTGGAGCCCTTGGATGTAAACACTCATGACTCATTCACTTTTAAGTAACAGGGTGTTACTATAGTAACATAAGGGTAAAATATTTGGATACGAATTGACCTCCTTCTAGGTGAAAATAAACATCACCTCCGATGGAAGTTCATCCATTTTGTCATAAAGACACAAATATCTAAGCATGAGTGCCAAAGGGTCCCCAACATCTTTATAACCAGGTGGGGATCAGTGATTATAGAAAAAATAATTTGAACACTTACCTCATATCAGAAAAGGTTTGAGAGTAGTGGATCTGTTTATTTAATCAACCTCTATTACTTTGTTATTTTCTATCACAATTCTCAATTGCTCTACTCACTCAGTGTTTTGCTTTCTGATCAACTGTTATTTTTATTACTTTGCTGTTCCATTGCATCTTGTTGTTTTGATCTGTTTCAGACTGCAAATCATATTATCTAATTCACTGTCTGTTTTGTTTGATCTGTCTAATTCCCTCTTTGTTTCCTTTGATATTGTTGTTCTTTCTGCTTTGGTCTGTCGTAGAACTGTATTTTTAATTATTGATGTGTTGTGTTGACTTTCTGTTCATCTGTGTTTAATATGTTGTCTGATTCTGCTAATGATTTTTTTGCTGATTTTATATAATTCTATTAATATATGTAATAACAGTTATGGCATTGTCTCAAAGTGGAGGTATGCTGACTGTGTGCACATTTCCTAATATGCTTTTGTAATAAATAGCAATAACACCTTCATAGCTTGATAAACCCATTACTTTTCTATTAACCAAGTATCCCTGTTGTTGCCATAATTATCACTATTGTTGTCATAAGTATGCATTGTCGCCATAAGTATCATTATTGTTGTAATAAGTATCCCTGTCATTGCTAAGTTAGCTAAGTTGGTATTACTGATATTATTACTTCCTAGTCCTTTACTTCCGGATACTTATTTAGTCTACTACACGTGTAATTATATTACATTCTTTATAATTATTTTGATCACTTCATGATAACTGTAATAGATAGGCATGACACTTATGTCTACATTGGTTAATACTCTACTGGTATAAGTATCCCTGTTGTTGTCATAACTCTCAAATCAGCTTAGTTGGTATTATTGATATTATTACTTCCTTGTCCTTTACTTCCGGATACTTATTCAGTCTACTACACTTGTAATTATTTCACATTCCTTATAATTATTTTGATCATTTCATGATAACTGTAATAGATAGGCATGACACTTATGTCTACATTGGTTAATGCTCTACTGGTATAGACATGATCAATACATGTTCCACCTTCTGTAGTTGGTATAGCTGTGTCTGATAGTAATACATATCCTTTGCATATCATGAAATCATGAATGTAGTGTTTCTTCGAGTTCAGTAAATTATCATTAAAATCACCTACGATGAGAACTTTTCCATGTTTTTTTGTGAACATGCTCTAAAATGTTCCCCATTTCTGTAATAACCTTAGTTTTCTGCATTTTAAGGGGCTTATATATAGTTATAATTGCAATATCTTTAATAACAGTTATAGCATTATCTAATGGTGATGGTATGTTGCTTGTTTGCACAATTCCTAAAATGCTCTTGTTATAAATTGCAATACCACCTTCATGGTTTGATAAGTTTAATACTTTTCTATTGATTAAGTGTGGAGAGTTAAATGTTTCAATCTCAAGGATACCACTTACTTTTTCATCTCTGAGCCATGTTTCTGTTAGACATACAATGTCACAAGTCAGATCTGTGTTACACTTAACATCTTTTATATGAGCAATCAAACCTTCTGTATTGTGAAAGATAAGGCTCAAATCATCAGTTGTTGCAGTTTCATATTTGGGCAGATCAAAGTCTGGCATTTCATTTAAAGCTTTTGCCATTTTTTCATCACAGTAAATTGAATTTGGGTAGTAATCGATAATGTAAAGACCATCAGATGAAGTAACTTTACTAAAAGTTAGGGCCTACACTGGTCATGAGCATCAAAGTAATTATAAGTATCCCTGTTGTTGCTATAAGTATTACTGTTGTTGCCATAAGTATCACTGTTGTTGTCATAAATATCAATGTTGCAATAAGCACTAAGTATCACTGTTATAACTGTATTCTTCAGACAGTAAATATTTTATCCATGATCAGTTTTCTGTGGAACATTTAATTATTTAACAAAGGTTTATATTGTCAGACTTCACTTTGTCTTAAATAATACTAGATCCATCATTTGAATGTTTCACATTGTTATTCCTTTTGTTGTTTTATCCATTATATATAATATTGCTGATGTTATTGGCCTACATTTAGCGCTCATTGACTCTTAAATTAACGAAGTTGGTATTACTGATTTTTTTACTTCCCAATCCTATACTTCCGGATACTTATTAAGTCAACTACACTTGTAATTATTTCACATTCCTTATAATTATTTTGATCATTTCATGATAACTGTAATAGATAGGCATGACACTTATGTCTACATTGATTAATGCTTTACTGGTATAGACATGATCAATACATGTTCCACCTTCTGTAGTTGGTATAGCAGTGTCTGATAGTAATAAGTACCGTTTGCGCATCATGAAATCGTGAATGTAATGTTTCTTTGAATCCAATAAATTTTCGTTAAAATCACCTACAACGAGAACTTTGTCATGCTTTTTGTGAACATGCTGCAAAATTTTCTCCATTTCTGTAATGAATTTAGTTTTCTGCATTTTAGGTGACTTATATATAGTTATAATTGCAATATCTTTAACAATAGTTATAGCATTGTCTAATGGTGATGGTATGCTGATTGTTTGCACATTTCCTAAAATGCTTTTATAATAAATGGCAATGCCACCTTCATGGTTTGATAAGTTTAATACTTTTCTATTGACTAAGTGTGGAGAGTTAAATGTTTCAATCTCAAGGATCCCACTTACTTTTTCATCTCTAAGCCATGTTTCTGTGAGACAAATAATGTCACAACAAGACAAATCAGTGTTAGACTTAACATCTTTTATGTGAGCAATCAAACCTTGTGTATTGTGATAGATAAGGCTTAGATCATCTTCTGTTGCAGTTTCATATTTGGGCAGGTCAAAATCTGGCATTTCGTCTAAAGCTTTTGCCATTTTTTCATCACAGTAAATTGACTTTGGATCATAATCGATAATGTAGAGACCATCAGATGAAGTTACTCTACTAAAAGCAACATATGCTTGACCACCAGCGAACATATCTTTGCAAGAAATTGCTAGTCGGTTACATGTTTTTCCTTGTAACTTATGTATAGTGCAAGCGTATGATGGAATAAGTGGTATTTGCTGTCTCATAAACTTGCTATTGACTTCGTCATTATATGGTTCAATACGTATAGATTCAGGATGAACTTCAGTCTGATTTTTATATCTGGTCTTAATACCTACTTTTGGATTATCAAACTTTACCCATACAGCACTTGGCATATTGTCTGATTCTTTCTTAAACTCAATTGCAGTTACAACACCAAATGCACCATTAGCAAGTCCATCAGCAATACATATATTCTTTATCAGAAGAACTTCTGTACCAATACAAATTTGCAATTCATGAAGAAGTGTATCTGCTCGCTGTTTTGGTTCTTCATCAATTTTTTTCCATTCTTGCCCCTTCAATTTATTGTGGTCAATTGCTTTTATCTTATATATTTTGGCATTTGTTGATTTTGCATGTGAGAGTATTCTCTTCCGATTATATACATCAACATTGACACGCTTTGAATATATTCTCATAACATCTTCTGGAATCGGTTTCTTCATTATTTGTCTTATAAATTCATCATCTTGAGCTGATATCCTTTCTCCTTTTTTAAGAACTCTAATCCTATTTAAAAATTCTGCATATTTCATATCACCCTTTTGTCTCATGATTTGCGTAAGCTCTATTTTCTTGAACTTTTCCCAAGGGTTATAATTTGTTTCATCAGACTTAAGTAAACTTTTCTGTTTGACTGGAGGCAATTGATAAAAATCCCCAAATGCTAATATTGAAGTATCGCCAAAGTCAGGATTATCACCAGGTTTAATTTGCTGAAGCCTTCCTCGTACTGTATTAAATAGTCTAACGCTTACCATAGATATTTCATCAATTATTAAATCTTTCAGAGATTCGAGTCTCATTTTCAATGGAGCTATCTTGGATTCTTCAAGTTCCTCGTACGTTTTAGATAGATATCGTGAAGTTATTCTGAATGCAGAATGTAACGTATTGCCATTAATTTGGAAGGCACTTGTACCTGTTGGACTAGTTAAAAGCACACTCAAATCATTTGGATGCTTTAAAAGGTTTCTCAATAAATGGGTAGCAATGTAATGAATACATTTTATTAGGTGTGATTTACCAGTTCCAGCTTTGCCACAAATATGAAGAAATAATGGTTTTATTTTCTTACCCCATGATAGTTCTAGGCATTGTTTTCGTATCAAGTAAAATATTTGTTTTTGTTTTGTGTTCATAGATCTTATCAATTCCATGGCTTCATTTGTCGGTATTGTGTCCGTTTGTAATTCAACTAGACAATTCACTTTTCCTGTTTCCTTGTCTTTGGTTTTAAAATCAATGTCAGGCATATCAGTTTCATCAATGTCATCAGATATTGGTTCAATATTTTCAGAAATACACTCTTGTCTTTCTAGTTCTTGCTCAGGAGCTAAATTAGCCCATGCATTCTCATATGAATCTCCGTCAGATAATTTATCTTGTGCAGCATTTAATTCATCACCAGTAACATCATAAATACTTTTATATTTTGTTACAATTTCAGAAACATTAAACAATTTACCTCCTTGTTTTATTTTGCCACATTTAAAATAGCCTTCAAATGTTTCATGTTTAGTAGGTCGTAATTCCTTATCACTTCTGTGTGGGATGAACAGTTGGAGCATACTATGATAATATTCATCTGGATTAGTTTCCTTTGAGAACTTTGGGTAGCGTATAATAGCTGGTGGACTTTTTGATCGCTTTTGTATAAATCCTAAACCAAAGTCTAGTTTTATTTTTTTGGATGTTTCCTTCTGATTTTCTACTATATCTTCATCATTGTTATATGTCACAAGTCTATATTGTGATGCAAATTCTGCCAAGCATAAATCATTGAATTCAACACTGTGTGGTCTTGCAAAATATCTATCTATGATACTTGTTGCCCATATTTTATCATCTTTTTGTTGACGAATTACTGAAATTGGTAGTGACATTTTAATAGGATTGTTACCTACTGGAAGGAAAACAGTTTGTCTTGAGCATTCTTTGAGATGAAGATTACTTGCTCTGTATACGGCTTCTTGAGCACTAACTTCTCTATGTTTCATATATCGGTAACCAATGATTTTCATGAGTTTAGAAGCTGAGGAGTTTTGTTCTTTGGCTTCCTGTTCTGCATCTATAAGATTCTGACTCATTTCTCGTTCCTGTTTTGATATATATGATACAATGTAGACAACACATGAAAATACATCAAGGACAAATTGTATATCCATATTGGCTTCCCATGCTTTTAAAAGGTCTGCATTGTAGTTATTTATCCAAATGTCTTTAACAGTTCTCTTCAAAAATATGGCTTTCCTTTTACTTTTTGTCAGAGTTCTTATAATATTTTCATATTTTTCCATTGTTAAGCCTGGGTGTGCTTTTTCAAATATTTCATTTAATGTCATTTGAGAATAATCTTCAGAGAGAAAGAATTCCCAGAGAGATTGAATGATATCTTCGGCTTCTTTTATTGGTATACACTCTGTAGTCTCATCAGGACTTTTGTCATCAATGATAAAGGTTTTCTCAGATGGAAGTCTTGGAAAGTGAAATCTACAAGTTCTTTTATTTTTCTTGCAACTTTTTGAGTGGTTTTTGCTGTGTGTTTGGACTTCGTTTACTATTCTGAACAAGTCTGGGTCAGTTTTTTCATCGGGCAATGCACAAGTGATATACTTATCTATGAATTCTTCAACTTCTAAATTTGGTGATTTACCATAAACGGGAGCATCTTCAATCCAAATTAAACAATGTATATGAGGTGACCCTCTCATTTGAAATTCAACTCTGTAAAACATGTCTTTCACTTTACCAATTGGTTCAGCTGGTGATTTAATAACATCATTCATGAACCTTTTC